GAGATGTTAAAAAAAAAAAATTCCGGGAAGGATGGCACTGACTCAGGTTTCCTCTGATGTCTAGAGAAAGCATGTCATTCTTTCTAGATAGCAGGCCTGGTTTGTGTACAACTGGAGACGATGAGGCATGCGTGAGTGCATGAAGGATTTGGGAGGACGGCCCCATGGAAAGGTTAAGAGAGGAAATACACAGGTAAACCTGCCTACGGGCAAAACCGGGTTACCAATTTTGCACGGAGTGGCCTAGCCACTGGTCAAAAAATCCCGTAACGTGATGTGGAGTAGAGAAAGTGAACCTTCTCAGGTGGAAACAAACGCAGGTAACATTTGAGGGCGTACTGGACCCAGGTACAGCCCGGGGTGTTGTCCGTAAATGACGGTGATGACCATGCGGTGACAGCCGTGACACCTTCCACCGCACGTGGAGTGGGGTCGGCGCATGGCAAGCTCATTACAGGTACCATCCCAGTGAAGTGTGGGGCTGGCTGTTCTGGTGTCATGGTCACCCACACCTCCCGCCCCCCTCAAAAGGGCTCAGTATTCGTGATGAGTGACAGGGTGGGTGACACCATATCTACTCCTCACAGAAGAACTGTCTGAAGGAAGCACACTTATCACCAGCTTGTATAAATGAGAAAACCACTCTGCGACAGGCGGAGGGACCTGTGGAGGGTCACACAGCTAAGGGTTTAGAGACAAGCTTGTGCAACCTTGGGGGGCGAGACGGCGGCTGGTGGTCTCCTTTCAAACCCCATCGTCACCACAGAATCCCTCTCACCTCCAAGGATCTCTGTTGGCTCAGGAGATCAGAGAACGCTACCGTTTCGATGCAAACTGGAGACGGGCTGGTGGTGGCAGCCAGACTGTGTGCTAAGGGCCACAATGCATTTGAAAGGAATCTCTAACAGAAAGGACAGACAAAAGGCCCCACCCCCCAAAAAAGATAATCAATCAATCATCAAACAACCAATAAATAAAGGGTGCTTTGGAAATAGTACATTTAGAGACCTGAACAGAACTTTTGGGAGAGCGGCACACGATAACAGATGACGTCGTTGAGCAGAATGCTGGGGAGATAGAGGTGAGGACGTCTCGAAGGAAAATGATGTGAAAAGGCAGGGTGATGGGTAATAGGAGAAAAGATACAAAATGGGGATATCATAAACAGAGGTCCCACCTGAGGAATAAAGAGAGAGGAAGCCCACGGGAGACAAACTACCAAATATGATGCTGTGATGACACTGCGTCTCGGAAGAGAGGTTGTGATGTGGGGGCTCTTTCTCAGGGGTTGTGGAAACGCAAACCTGGACAGACGTGGGGAGCGTGCTTCACAGTGGGTATCAGGCGTCTCCACAGGTTCACGCTCTTTGAATCAGTGCTTCTGTTTCTAGAAATTTATCCCACGAACACACTAACCCACACCCACACATACACACACACACACACGTGCCGTTTATCAAAATATTGCTACCAACATTAGTTAGAAATTTGTGCAGCTAGAATTGGAAAAAGGTTGAATAAATGGCAGACTATTATGCAGCCCTGAAAATTCTTGGTTCTTGAAGAATATCTTTCATGAAGAAAGCTTCTGAGTGTAATTTTAGAAGACAAAAGGCAGAATCTGACATCAAGTAAAGGCAGCATGATTGCAAATTAAAAAAAAACACCATTTCTATTTATGTATATATGGATATGTATGTTTTCTGTGATGTGTATATAGACATGTCTATACATAACTGGAAAGAAAGATGATATAGTTTTATTCGTAATGAGTTTTGGGGGAGTGGGTCTACCAATGGTTTTATATGATTATTTATAGATTCTTGTATTTATCAAATGTTCTATGTATTTTTTCAATCAGAAAAAGCACAAGCTAACCATATCGTCTTCCTGCCAATGGAGAGAGTGTCATAAATTTTCAAAACCCTCAGATATGATAATTTGTGCTAATGAGAGTAAAAAGAAAATGAACCTGGGCTTCCTATTGGCCTGAAGAGACCCTACTTGAGACGATTTCAATTTGATGAGCTCTGGTTTTTAAATAATGATGTTCTATCAGAGTCTCCGCAGCTGGTCCTTGTCACATACTCACAAAATATAGTAAGACTTCCGTTTGTAGAGGAAGCTTTTGAAGTCCTCATTTTTTAAGCACAAGCACATGTAAGTGTTTAAGAAATCCTTGTTGGGCCAGCCGAGTGGCGCGTTGGTTAAGAGCTGGCTTGGGACGCCAGACGGCCCCGGTTCGGATCCCACATATGAGGGCCAGTGACACCGCCCTCCACAGCTAAGATGCTGAACAACAGCTCAACCTGGAGCTGGGCTGTTGTGANGCCCTCCACAGCTAAGATGCTGAACAACAGCTCAACCTGGAGCTGGGCTGTTGTGAGTTGCTGGCGACGGCGTAGGCTGCAGTCCCTGTGGCATTGCCTCTGAGACACAGCACAGTCACCAACATGTTTTGGTTGGGATTCCCTTGACCCCAACATGGGTTTATCATCATGGGTACCTGCTGCCATGAAATATCCTTATGAAGGATTTCTAGTCTGCTGGCAAAACCTTTCATCATCATCATCATCATCATCAAAGGATTAAAATAATTGACTGTCCCTCCTACTATATAGTGACGCAGAATAAGGCATCTTACTGCTGGCAGGTCAAACAAAATGACATTTCACAAAAAGAAAATGTCCTTTTTTTTTTTTCCTTTCATAAGAAAACTTGAATATTTCTAAACCCTTTTTTGACGGGGAACATGTTAGAAGGAATACCTTGGTTTGCAAGTATAATTCGTTCCAGAAACTACTCGTATTGTAAGACGTTGCTTGTTTACCAAGTTAAAATGTACTAGAAATGTTTGCTCGTCTTGCGGAACACTCACAAACCAAGTTGCTCGCAATCCAAGGTTTTACTGTATTTTCTTGATTATCTGCAACGTTTTCATCCTCTTTGGTAGAGGGAAAGAGTTTAACGTGCCGTAATCGAGGACCTTGCATTTGGCATCTCGGGGAACCCGGAACACCGAGTGAGGAAGGCCTGACGTCAGTAAGATATAATGGATGTTGTCATTAGGTATTTAGAAACAGATATTGTAGTCCCCACTGAAAGATCCTCACTTCACATGAGGGCATTAAGAAAGGACAGTGATAGCTGCGTTTGTTCACCTTGAATTAATCCTGAGCCTTTTTAGCCTCATAACTTTTAATGAGCTACTGAGTCTGTCCATTTTTTTCTAGCCAGGTCCAAAAAGAATGTCAATCTCTCCTCTAGACTAAAATTACCAAACTAAATAAATATATAAAGCCCTCAAAGCTTTTCCTCTGCACAATGTACAGTTGCTTTCCAGAGGAATAAAAATAAAACTCTACTTAGCAGGCGCTTAAGGCTCTTGAAAGCTGGGTCAGCAATCAAAGCCAGCTCTTGCATTAACAAGAGCGATAGGAAATAAATTCTTCTCTAAACCCCTGGAAAAGTGTGTTTCTGAAGCAGACAAGGAACACGCCATCCTTTTCAAAGAACAAATTGCAGAAATCACAATAGAAAAGGCAGCCGGTAAGCAGCTCAGTATTAAGAAGGAATACAATGTAAACGGGAGGTGGGAGGTGCATAAGCCTCCACAGCAGGAGAACCCCCGCTGTGGGGTTTAAATAGAAAAAAAGAAATCCTAAAAGGTCCTCTGGTTTTGTTCATTTTAACTCTAATGCAGATCCCTCCAATTAAAAGGCCACTGAACATTCTAGGAAGAGACGATTAAGGAAAAAGTCTCTACTTGCACAGAGCTGGGTTCCTGCACCTGGGCGCGACTGCCACTGGGGACAGATGACACTTGGTGGTGGGGACTGTGCCAGGCACCCAGGGATGGGGAGCAGCAGGCTTGGCCTCCACCCACTGGATGCCAGGAGCAAAGCCCCTCCAAAGTTATGGAACCCACAGTCCTGCTGGCATTGCCAAAATCCCCTCAGAGGGCAAAACAGCCCCAACAGGAAAGGTCTGCCATCAGTTATGCAAGACCCCAAAGCTGCCTTGGGAGATCCTGAAATCTCCGGGCAACGCTTGCTTCAGCTCCCATCATGTTGGCCGACAGGATCACCCAGGTATTCATATGTCTGCAAACAGAGGGCATCGTTTGCTTTCCCAACCATCCTGGGCGCAGAGGTCAACCAGCTTCTTGAGAGTACGAGGCCCGTGAGCGGACAGCTAGGGTCCACAGCCTCGGTCTCTCTGATGCCTCAACATGGTTCCACGTTTGGGGACCTTTCCGTCCCAACGGGACCACTATCTTCTCTGAAAGCATCTCTGTGCCCATTTCTCTGAGTCTGCTGCTACAGGGGGTCAGGGACACGCTCTGATGCCAAGCAGTGCCCACCGTGACATCACAATGGCATCGTCATAGAGACGTGGCCTCTTCTGTAACAGAGATTCTCAACATCAGGTCCCTCAAGCTATCCCCAACCCCACACACACTCACCTCCACCGGGGCGGTCGGGGGACGGGGCGCTCCTACAGGAAGTCAGCCCGCTCTGTCCCTCAGGTGGTGACACAGAAAAGCCAATGAGATCAACAGGTATGCCAAGAGCCTCCCCATTCTGCCATGGCTTGGTGGCTCCGTTGATTCAATTAGAGTCACCTCCGAGGTCCAGGGTATGCATGACACCGTTAATAAAATCTTCACCCCTCCAGTCCTCAAGTTCCCCACCTGCACGCCACGTGATTTTGCTTATTACGGCGCTGCCCTCATGGGCAGCGCAGTGGCTCTCTAGGAAAATCTGTTTGACGTTCATCAATATTCCCCTTCGGCGAAGTCCTTTCTAAATGAAAAATATACGGGGACAACTCCAAATTCATGCTATTCCTGTAGTCCTGGAATCTCCCCCAAACAGCCCTGTACAAGTCACCAAATACTGTTATTTGGCCCAGTAGGGTCAGGGCGAGGCAAACAGGCTGGTACTAGGCAGCGGGGTTTTCAGAGAGCAGGTACCCACACGGGAGGTTCTGTTACTTACACTGATAACAGTTCGTAGACAGTCTTGGGTGTCAGTCCTCAAAAGGTCTTACGTTATTGAGACCACCATGTGCCAGGACAGCGAGGCGACCTTCTCTCAGCAAAGGTGCTTGGGGAACACCGGGCACGTCCTGTGAATTCATTCAAAAGAACAAGTACCAGGATAAGCATATGCTGAAAAACTTAAATGAAGTAAGTTTTCTTGCCTAGACGATTCCCCTTCCCATGTGTTTCTCCTTCCCACTCTCTGCCTAACTCCTAGTCATCCGCAGCTCTCAGTGCAGTTGCCACCACCTCACAGAAGCCCCACCTGGTTACCCAATATAAAGCAAAAACAGGTCCCCGTTGTTGACTATCACAGTACCTCTTTTCCCTCTTGAATGCCGTTATCACCATTTGCAAAATAATATATTTATTTGGTTTCTTTGTGTTTTATATTTGTTCTCCCCACAGGCTCTCAGGATCAAAAAGACAGGGTCCATTTGTCCCCCATAGCAAACTCTCAATAAATACTTTCTTCATAGTGCTGGGGTCACAGACTCCATCCCCCGGGACTGCCCTATCCCAACCATCTGTTTTTTTAAGCCAAGAAAGAATTTTTATTTTTACGTTTTTAAATGGCTGAAAAAAGAATATTTTGCAATACGTGAAAAGTACATGAAATTCATCTTTTGGTGTCAGAAACAAACTTGACTAGGACACAGCCACATCCATGCATTTACTGATTATCTAGGACAGCTTCTGTGAAATAGGGTCAGAGTTGAGTCGTTGCGATAGATGGTTTGGCTTGAAAAACTAGAAATGTTCACTATCTGGCCCTTTACAGAAAGTGTCTCAGGCTCTGGGATGCAGCCCTACACACGAAATGAAAATGAGCTCAGAAAAAAGGCGGAGAAAGGTGACTTTGAACCTACTGAAATATATGTAGGTTTTAGCCATTGACATTTAGACAAAAACGAGCATATGCCTTGAAACAATGTACGAATGTCTAAATCTATTGTTTATACTTTGAAAATGTGAAGAATAATCCCACTCGGGAAACCACAGTCACAAAAGAACACCACGTGGTAGAAAAAATGGCTGTTGTACAGATTTCTGTACATGCGGAGCTTGCTTTTTTGAAGTTATGCTTCCAGTGACAATTTCTTAGGGTCAATCAGTGTCTCAGAAATGTTATTTCCCCTGCACAGATGGCATTTGAAACTGTAATCAATCTTCGGGCATGGCTTTTCATGTTCAGTTCCTGTTGGAACTCAGTGGTGTGCTGTCAACGTAGACCTTTCACCTCCCACTCTAGGAAGGGCAGAACCACGGGACAGGGTCCCCTTCTCTATCCCGTCACCATGACCCAATCAGGCAAGACTCCGCTCTGGTGGACATGGGTTTGAACAACTGGTCGACTCCCCTTGTGAGGCACAAATGACCCAATTCATCCTTTTCCTTTCTCAGGCTCACACTTTTTATTTACAGAAAATAGGCTTTCAGATATCGGCAAGGGAGTGGTGCTCAAAAGACATTTTTCAAAATAATATTAGTGTGGTTCTTGGCCACGGGTGATTTTGTGTGACAGGGGTCATTAGGTAAGGTCTAGAGCCGTTTCTGATTCACGCAATTTGGTGGGTACTACGGGCATCCAGTGGGCAGAGCCCAGAAGTGTTGCTAAATGTCTTATGCACAGGACAGTGGCCACCACAAAGAAACGTCCACCCCAGAGACCCCCACCCCAAAGAATAAGCTGCTCTCAAATGTCAGTAGCGCCAAGGTTTCGAATCAGTGCATTAGACCGTTGGTCTAAGAATCATTCAAGTGGGTGTGATCACAGAGAAAGAAAAACACACACGTTGAGGGCTGGGGGTGGGGTCACTGCCAGTTTACGCAAGCCATTAACAGAGTCAACTGTGAATGGTGGAGCCACCATTATGACGATAGACTGTGTGAAAATAAGTCCCTTTACGCAAAATTTATAATCCAAATTATACTCACAGCACAAGGCTGAAGAAGATCAAGGGGTTCAGTTGGCTACATTTTTAGGAATGTATATTTTTGAGTAGTTTGTGAGTTCAGAAATAATAAGCGTGTTTCATTACCCCTTCCTGTCTCTGTCTACGTGTAATCGACATAACTGTCACTTCCTCCCCCTCTCCCCCAATCATTCTCATCCCCTCTCCAATGGTACTCATTACATTGCCGAAAATGATAGTGACCTAAGGATGGAATGAAAGTCCACCATCCCTGTCCTTGACTCCAAGACACAAAAACTGTGGCCTACTGTTGACCAGAAGGCTTCCCAATAGCATAGTCGATGCACAGATATTTTGTATGTTATATTGGGAATGTTAACTGCATTATGTATTATGTTACATATACATAATTATTATAATTACATACAGTATTATGTACTATAGCCTTGCAGGAAAGTAAGCTTGAGGAAAGGAAAGGTTATTGAGAAAACCATAAGGAACAGAAAGTACATTTACAGTACTGCACGTATTTACTGAAAAATAAAAAAAATCCACGTAGAAGTACATCCGCGTAGTTCAAGCCTGTGTTGTTCAAATGTCAACTGTATTGTGTTGCTTTGTTGTGACATTAGGTTTAAGTGCACTTGAGACAATGTTTAAAGGAGTTTAAAACACCGCAGGAGTAACCATGAGAAAAAGACAAAGCATCCGTCATTAGAATAGCCCAGAAGCGGGCCGGCCGAGTGGCACGATGGTTAAGAACTGGCTTGGGACACCAGAGGGCCCCGGTTCGGATCCCACACATGAGGGCCAGTGACACTGCCCTCTACAGCTAAGATGCTGAACAACAGCTCAACCTGGAGCTGGGCTGCCGTGAGTCGCCGGCGACGGCGGAGGCTGCAGCCCCTGTGGCAGTGGGTTGCCATGGGCTGCCGTGTGTAGCCAGCAGCCAGCGTGAGCGGCCAGCAGCCACAGTGAGCGGCTGCGTAGCAGCCGGCGACTGATCTGCCTCGCCCGGGAAGAGCGCAATGATGGTGCCAACTTGGACCAGTGAAGCAACATCCTCCACAACTAGATTGAAGAACAAAACAGCAACTTGTCTGTTCCCCTTCCCCCAATTCCCCAGTGCTGTTCCCATCCTCCCAATTCCCCAATTAAAAAAATCTTAAAAAAAAAAAAAGAATAGCCCAGAAGCGTGGTTATTAACGAAGTCCGACTGTGGCTGCTTGGGACGCCTCTTACGTCAAGAAGACGGTATAGGAAGGTGGTAGAGAAATAGGAAAGGCAAGTTACGGAATCTGATTCCCCGCACGGTGACACTCCGTCGCAGTGTGTCCAGGACTAAGAGGTTCCAGTGTTCAAACTGGGAGAGTCCCAGGTACATCGCAAGGAGTCAGTCAGTCGGCTTACCCATGAGAACTTCTAGAATGTTCCATGTAGACGGAACCATGGGAGGCAAGTCTGAGTATGCAGGACCTTGAAAGGATTTAAGAAGCTAGAAGGGAATCCAGGGGGGAAAGCGTCTTCTGAACATGAAGAAGTAAAGTGTGGTGCAGATGAATTTACAGAGGGAAAGTCCTTGGTGGATGGCGTAGGGTGAGCCCACATGTCCAGTGAGAATGGAGGTCCGCGTTCCCGTCCCCCAAATGATCGTTGTGTTGACAGCTGACCGAGCTTAGAGCTAAGTCTGTCTTTGGCAGTTGCCCTCAGCCAAAGCAAGCCAAGGTGATGTCATCTACACCTGTGGAAACCCAGAGACAACGTCTGGTCCCCAAAGGTGTCCCCTCCTTGCCTTCCAGTGGGACAATGCAGGGAGCCCATCCCAGCTCCAGAGCACCCTCCAAAACAGCTAAGGTCTTTGCTGTGACAATATCATAGATCAAAGCTTCCCTGCGCCTCGTCCTTCTCTCCTGCCTCTCCACAAGTGTTGATCCCAAGAATTCACCCTCTCCCCCTAAAAAAAACCTCCCGAACATAGACCTTATCCCACAACCTATTTCCTGGTACTCAACATAAGACCACCGCTGATAAATTTCAGTCCTGAATATGTTTATACAATGCTGATCAAACAGCCCCATCCTGCCACCATGCTAAGATCCTAGAGACACCGTAACAACGGGAGACAGGCCTTCAGTTCAGCTTGATGATCCTTGGGCGTGTCCACATTTTGGGGACAGGCAAGACATAGCGGTCAGTGGCTGGAAAAACCAACCACCAAGATGGTGAACTCAACGTACCAATTTATCATCACGCAAATCAGAAGCGTTCTCCAAGGGATTTTCTCTGAGTAGTTCAAAACCAGCATACCAATAGCAGACAAACTGGGCTAGAAGGAAACCGTAGAATAATATAATTTCCGGCATGCCCTCTCACACACTTCTTGTGAAATGCAATGCTTTGAGTGTTTCTTTGTTCCTGAATCATCTATAATACGGCCTTTTGATCAAGAAATTCTGTGTTCCATGAAGAGCAGATACACATCGTCTTCAACTATGTGTCTGCTACCTACTGAGAAGCCTGAGGCTAATACTAATGGTGGTGACTGAACTTTTGAACTAGAGCAAAAAAAAAAAAAATCCTATAGAACAGAGAGATTGGCAAACTCTGACCATGTGTTTTGGTCAATAAAGTATTATTGGAAAACAGCCATCTGTATGGTCTGTGGCTACTTTTGGTCTCCAGTAGCAGAGCTGACCACACGACCTACGAAGCCACCAATATGAACCATGTGGCCCAATACAGACAACGGTTGCCAAAGCCCTGACCTAGATATGGCTAAAATATGTGACCTGTTCGCCGTTGCCCTAACTTGCAAGAGATGATGGCCGTTTGCTCAATTAGACAGAGACTGCTTAGAGTGAAGCCTGGGTGAGCAAACCAGAGGACAATGAAAGAAGGTCAGTTTTCACATGACCCGTGTGTCCTTGGAGAATCCTGTTGTCTGACCATCATCACACGGCCAACGACTACAGGATGAGGGAGCTACGGTGGCCCTGATGGGCCGTCTCCTCAAAGCCACTCAAGCATGCAGAGACCATGCACATACATGACAGACACGTGTACATGGCTTTTATTTATTTTGAATTGGCTACTTAGAAACAGGAAGTACTCAGGGTATTGATGGTCTATGATCATACAATTGACGAGCATATTACTATATAAATACACTC